GTATTACGGGCTATCGAAGATTGACTCGAGACCCTGCGTGTTTTCCCCGTGTCCATTGTTGGATTGCACGGAACGCTCCCGCGATCGCTTGATTTTTATGCGAAACCCATGATTTGACTCTCGGGCGACACCGATTCAACCGATGAATACTGCGACTCATTCAGTCGGTGAGCATCACTTCCAGAGCGAACGTTCCAGTCGTCGCAGCCAAGGCACGAAAGCCTTTCGGAAGGGCCCTAGCTTTTCTCTTTGCTCTGTTTGCTAATGTCGTGAGCACCGTTTCCAGCCCCGTCATTGTTGGCACTGTTGTTATTGTTGATGTGTCGTCGTTCGCTGTCTGAGTTCCTCCGCTTTGTAGATCTCGCTGTCGCAGAGCTCGGCGTCTCCGTTATTTATTTGTGTTCGACTGCGTGGTGCTGCTGCCGCTGCAAGACGGTAGACGCCGCGACAGCGAGTTGTCGGCTGATATTACGTCGGAAGATATACCTTTGAGATATGACATAGCGGAGCGCATAGCAGACGATGAAGTACCTGGTGCCACCAGAATGCGTTTTGACGCCAGGAGTTCTTTACGTCGGCTACGATGACGCCTACTGGTGCCACTGCTATTTTTTCCCTCAGATCCGAGTCGCATGAATGCAATTATCGATGGTGGGTCGTGACGGTCTATGGGGAGCGTATATTGCGAAAACGTAAAGAAACTGAGCGGGAATGGAATTATTGTGACTTTGAACGCGGAATAGGGAACGCGAAGAGAAGAGTGTGATTCCGTCGGCTTGCACACTTCGTGCAGCCCGAGGCTATCGCGTGAATGATTCGGAAACTAGAGGGTCAAATCGTAGTATTCCCGATTGAATCGACGCTCCTAAATGGTAGTCGCGCTGACGACACGTCACGTCGAAGCCAGACTAGTCGTTTCTATGATGTCGTTTCCGGTGAATCAGGCAGTCAGCTGGAAAGGAGTTACTCAAGTATTATTCGCCTATTCATGCCTCCACCCGCCTTCGGGTGTCCCCATCTACCATAAGGGTGTTTTTCTTCACTTCGCTGGCGCCTGCTCCGGCGAGGGAGCTCAGGTCCTCCGCTTGCGGTCAGACCATTAGAGACTAGTGGCGTGGGTATCACGTCCGTTGTGGAAGCGGCTCGCGAGCGCAATAGCCTGATGTCTGCTCTCGGAGAGCTGTCTAGCTCAGCAGTCCTCGTTTGGTCCGTCCCAATATCGCGTCCCGACACACCGGACTCCGATGCAGCAAGTGGTAGCAGCGCAACCGAAGGCAAATCTCACGGACAACGAGCATTCAATGGGCGCGCATCTGTCGTGGAATTCGAAACTTGACAGCAGCAGCAGCGGCAGCCACCGCCTGCCGCGCATTCGCTAAAATCAACGACACAAATGCCCCTGGCGCCACGTATGTTTGCTTTGCGAGCTAATCGATGCTGTTCATTGTTGAGTCAGACGGCCTCTCGGCCAAAACGTCCCACCTCAGCATGGGCTGGCGACAACCGCTCTGTGTGAAGCTCTTGTGAAGTCCCGTCCGGACGGTCTGCGTGCCAATCTAAAGTGAAACACTCTCGCTTCGGCGTGCTCCGTACGTGATTCGCCACTAATGGTGCAAGGTGACAGAGTGTTGGAGATGAGAATCGACAGGATTCACCCTACAGCTGCATCATCGCTGTCGGTACTAACGAGCGTTGCGTTCCGGCGCGCTCCTGACCACGGTCTCACCACCAAATTATCTCGATGACGCGATCACCTTCGGAGTCCGCTACCTTCGGACTTCTTCTCGGTTCGCACTCTGATGGGAAGATTAAGGGCGCGTGTGAACATCCGATATTCACCCGAGAGCTCGGACACGGAGAACATCACGGCGAGAATGCTGCGGCTGTACGTCGCGTCGCGATCCGAAACTCCGAGATAGCTCCATACCTGCGGGAATTAAAAGCGATACGACCCTGTTTCGGCACTCTGAATCGCTGCCACGGTGATGAGGACGATTCCAAAGCATTATATTCCTCTCGTAATGGGCCATGAGGATAGTCTCACGTACATACTCCATTCATCTGTACAAATGACAGCCAGAATAATGCAATAATAAATAGCGTTCAGTTTATTCAATGAGTTTTCGGTGTGTGGGGTCAATGCTGGTAGACATTTTCACGGGTTGGCTACGCATTATTAAGTGTCTCGATTTGGAAACTATCCTTCCGTCAACATTGTCTTCGGTTCCTTGCAATTCCATCCGATTACGTAGATCGTAAATATTCCTGCCAGACAAACACCAGTTAATCAATCAATCAGTCAGTCAATCAATCACTCAGTCAGTCGAGCAATCATTCTATCAATTACATCGGGAGCGTCATGATTGATTGAATTCATCGATCCTCTTCGCAGTTGCGTGAGCCGTCCCGTCGACGAGCGTGCAACAAGGGTCCCGCAGATGTGTCGCGGCGAAGACCGCAACTTCGAAAGTGACTCTCCCAGGAGAGCCTTCGGATCTCGATGGGAAATCATAACGCATCGCCAATCGGGAGCCGTCGGAGGGAAGTTTCCCCCCCCCCCACTCAATTTGAAGCTCGCTGCGACGCACTTGCGAGCGATCGATGCTTCTTCAGACCTAATCTAGCTATATCCGACGAACCGAGTCCGCACCGGTCTGAGGTCCATCTTCTCCGTGAGGATCATTTGTTCATAGTATCTACACAACTGAGGAACCCAAAATCTTATCAATGCGACACGAACGCTACAAGATTGCACACTCCGTTTCGGTAGGTTCCGGCTATTCAATCCCCTCAGGATCTGGGTTATTCTTTATTTGGAATTCGCGGTTTCCTCCAGTAGTCAAAGACAGCATTTGCGTAGCCCACGGACACGTAATTGTCATCTAGCCCATCTCCATATAGATCTCTTCGTAATCGAGAACTCATCTCATTCCGCCGTTGCTCTTCCTCAACCCTCAAAGAGCACATCGCTACGGGGATTTCTCTACCTCTCTCTCCCTTTTGGAATATCCTACGTTATACATGATTTCAATGATCTTGATGGATCAGTCATACTTCATACTCATTGAGAATAGCGATAGTGGAGTCTACTTCCTTCCAGTTCCATCATCGTGATCGGAAATCCTGATGATCTAGGCGAACATTTATGGATCTGTGCCTCGGTTTGCGTGTGACGAGATGACAGAGCGACGCTAGCCTCAAAGTGCCGTCGATAAGATCCGTCTGTACAGGACGGTTTACAACTTTCTACATTCGAGACATTTCCGACGGAGTTCCGCTCATTTGTCGCAGTTTCTTCCTACCCGCATGGTTGTGGTGAGAGTTCCCAAGTTGAAGATGATGACGAATACTGCCATTACCTAAGGTCTTCAATCTTTGGGATGACTTGGGAGAACTCTGAGCGTGCCATCGATACGACAGCCGCAGGCATCAGACCGATCTTGCTTCTCGTCAACTTCGTGTGCTCTCCGAGAGCTGATGCCGCCCGGCTACGCCTTGAGAAGGCAGTCGTCATCATCATTTTCGGAACCGATCACTTCTGAAATTATTTTCCAAAATGCACGCAATAGTCGCGATGTGAGGTAGCCTCGATGACACACATCGGATTGATTCTGGAAAGTCCAGCGATGGTGGAAGCTTCCATACCGAGCCACCCCAGAAAGAGCCACCAAATCTCTCGAATGAGAGCCCGTTCCGATGCCTCGGTGACAGTCCTATGTCTCAACGGCTGCTCCGCGCGTCTCCCCCAGAGAGAAATTCGTTCCGATATTCGAAGCGACATACTTCGACACCCCGGAGCATGAGGAAATCACAATGTGAATAGTTCCGAGATCCAGGGAGTCGTACAGACGGATGGATTAGATTCGGGTTCCTGGACTCCGGCTCCTCGAGGTTCTGACCGCTCGCTTGATCACTCATCCGCTATCCTTCAAAGATTCGCCGGACGCGATAATCAACCACGCCAACGATACGCTCCGGACTCGGGTTGCCAAGAGGTCGAATGAACACAGATTCGAAATCCGATCGAGCGATCATCGGAAAAGAGTCGATGTATCACACTAAAGGCACCCATCTTCGTATGTTCCTGAGTGAGATTCTTGACCGATACGCCTCGGCTACGACTGATCTCGGTGGAAGAGTGAACGTGCGTGGAAATGCAGATGCCCGGCCGTCCCCTTTCGGGTCGGAACTGGACCGCCTCTCGGTGATGAAGCCTTCCCTCTAGGTATGCATGCCAGTAGTCGGAGGACTCCCTCGGTCTCTCCCTTTATATACAAACATCATTGTGCGTGATTTAGACTACTTGAATGGCTTTCGTGTTGGAACTTCGTTCACTCTCCGATTTTTCAGCTCAACCATCGCGGCCGGTGGCTATCTCGCCGGCGCCGTGGTGCATCTAGCGATCGGAGCGGTCGCAATCCCAGCGAGGGGTCAGACGTCGGAACCTTCCGGAGCCCCTCTCGGAAATCGAGAGTTCTATTGGAAATGAAAGTTCCCAACGAACCCATAAACAGGATTCTAGAGCTCCACGTAAATTCAGCCGTTATCCCGCGCATTAGGATCTGGTCTATCTCGATGGAGGAGCACCTAACGTATAATTCGTACCACCGCGACTCCCCCGCGGAAATACGCAATGACGCCGAATTGAACGTGATCGGTCCCGTCTGCTCGCCCGCACCCCGAACTGTTCGATGATGCAACGGTCAAAAGAATTCTCCTCGGATTCATTGACCTATCTAGGTAACTGATCCTGTGATCGCTAAACGTGTGGAGGTCATCGGCTTGAGGCGATTCCACTCCGAGATCACACCTCGCTCGAACCGAATCGGTTCGCCTCTGAATCGTTCTCCGATTGGTCGACGTCGACGGAGGAAAAATCAACTCTTCGCATCTGTACCCGATACCTGATGGATTGCTGTCAAATCCAATGCGACACTATTGCGTCGCGTCGTTGAAATCGTCGTTCTCTTCTGCCGTCCATTAGTATCGATCTAAATTCTCTATTCGTCGTCACGACCGCTATCGGTATTATCGTCCAAATCGCTTTCCGAGTTTGCCGAATTGTGCGCTTCCTGGAGAACCGAACGCGAGGTTGCGGTTTGGAAAGCGTGATTTTTAGGAACTTTACTGCTGCTGTTGGAATCGTCATGGTCTCCATGGTCATCGTCTTCGGACCTCTCGGCGCCAGCTGACGATAGCGCGTTGGGGGAATGCCGTCGGTTGTCGGACTCTGTCGAGCTTTCGCGTTTTCTCTTCAAAGCTCCCGCGGATTGCTGCTGCTGCTGCTGCAAACTGTCCACGAGCGCCTCCATGTTGCTCAACTCGCATCGGGAAGAGCTCGGCGGCGAACTCGCGCCGTTCTGGTTCAGGAGTCCGGCGCTTCCGTTGAGATTCGCCTGCTGCTGCGGCGGCTGTTGTTGTTGTTGTTGCTGTTGCATGAAAGGGGAAAACATCAGTGCTGCGGCCGCCGCAGCAGTGGCGAACGGATCTTGACCGGGCTGCGCCAGCAAATTCCCTACGTTCGGCCACGCTTGGCCTGGGAACGGTAAGCGTTGCTTGGCGAGCATCAGCCGCGCCGTCATCTCTTGGTAGGCCATCACTAGGGACAACTGCTGAGGTGGAAGACTTTGTAGCAGAGCTGCGTAAGGGTTGCCCAGACCGGGTACACCGGGAAGACCCGGCAGACTTCCAGCGAGGTATGAAGGTGGGGTCGCTACAACTGGACTGGAACTGGTCGCCGATTCGGCGTTCGTTGAAGTTAACGACGCCGGCCGAAGGTCCGACGGTTCTCCAACGTCCAAGCGGTCCTCGTCGTCTGAAGAATCCGCGCACGCCGAAACGTTGCCCGAAGCGTTTTGAGCGGCCAACCGATCCCGATCAGTGAGAATCCGGTGACCGTGAGCGGTCTGAGCCAAGAGCGCCTGCCTTCTGAAACGAAACCGTTCGTCGATGAGTTTGATGGAACCTCTCAGCGCGCTTGCCGACTGACTTGTCGTGATCTTCTGCGCTACGCCGAGGGAGAAATCCGCCGTTTTCCCCGGGACAAATGTTCCGGATCAACGGAATAATAAATGCCAACTCACTTTTTCTCTCGTTTGCCAGCGCCGGTATCGCGGAAGCCTTTAGCGAATGGGTTGTTGTCGATTTTGAGCTGGGTAATCTTCTCGTTTTGGTAGGCGGTCACCGCTATGAACTCGGTCTCCCGGAATACGAAGGTCTTGAAGTTAGCGTAGGGGAGTTTCGAGATGTCGTTCGCCCGAACCAGATGAAATCGCGGCTGGTACTTGTGCATTGAGTTCAGAATTGTCTGAAAGGAGATCTTCATAGTTACGTATAGCTTGAAATTCCGTCTCGCATCCGCACTGCGAATAAAAGCCGTTCTGTTCGACGAGCTTATCCCCGACTTTCCATCATCTTTTCCGTCTACGCTCAGGATAAACGAGATCGCCCGCTGACGCTTCCGAACCACTTGCACAAGTGTTCTCCCGATTATGGGTCTAGGAAACCGAATCCCTACTGTGGGACACGCCGCCGCGCCATCGAAATTTAATCCCTCTTGTTTGGCGGCGACGCAAATTTTATCTTCGCTCGGGACATGCTCGCTGTTCCAGTGGCAGACGTTCCTCGAGTCATAAATAATCGAGCCGCCCAAGGCTCCTTCATTAACTCTGTTGCCACTGCCGCCGCCCTGTGTTCCTTTGCTGGAAGAAATCGAGAGCGAACAGCCGGACGAGAGCGGACCGACGGCAGAGCGAGAGAGATGTTCAGCAACAAGCTACGGCCGCATCGACAGCAGCAGGCAAAATAAAGAGACAACTTGTCATCCAGCCAATTTGTATTAAAGAGTCTGTTGTGAGAACCAAACGAGAACTAATGCATTCTCTCGAACTCACCCCAGAATCGAGCGAGCGAGGAAGAGCGAAAAAAAGAGGATGATCTGCTCCAGCGCGACATCGGGGGAAAAAGCTCCTTCCACGACGAGCCGTTGCTTCTTAGACCCGTCGTTGGTTGTGGTGGATTCGTAAACAGAGCATATTTCAAACGGCTGCCAAACTAGCGGTGCTACTCATCTTGAGACTTTCCTCGTCTTTATCTTTTAGATCTTATAGATTTAACGAAAACACACAAACAGACGCTCGCCGAGCTGGCGGATTGAACTCTTTTCGAGTTTCTCCGGCGAACAAAGCAGCACGAGTTGTGCGGAAATACTTCGATCGCAGAAGTTTCCCAGCCGCAAAATCGCCGCTGAACGAAATTGTGTGCGTTTTTTCGTGACCACACACTTGGACTGTTTGAGTTTGCATATTGGGAGCGTGCAGGAATTTCTCTGCGATCATCAGTCTTTCGGGCACGCGAATCTCGGGTGCCCGCTTTTCTGAGGTACCTACCATCGGGTCGAGGTTCTGGACAATTCGGGGACCCGAACAGGCGATTGCTCCTCGGGAGGAGAAGTCGATGATTGAGCCACCCGGAACGACGGTCGGCTTGCGACGAGTCGAACCCGTCATCGACCCGGAGCTTTCAACAGACAAAACGGGAATTTGTTTTTGTTGTGGTCGTTGTTGCGGGCATCGTGTGTCATATGCGGGAGCGGGAAAATAGCACTGTCTGTGAAGCGTTCGATGAGGTCGGGAGGGATTCTCGATCGACTGTTGTGGTGAGCTTTGCTTCCCCCACACTGGAACCGATCACGAATCACGAGTCGAAAGCGCTTCCCGCAAAGCAAGAGGACGGTGGGAACTTCGGTTCGCCGCCGCTGCTGCTGTTGTTGCTGCTCCAGTCGATTCCCTCCACAATAGATCGACTTGGTCGGGTCCCTCAGGTCAAACTGCATGCATACATTGATTTGTCGAGACATTGGTTCGAAAAATCAGTCAATCCGCATATCGTCCGCTCCGAGAATGTTTACTGCTTAGCGAAAACGGTGTCAGTAGCTCGGTCGATACGTATCCCACTGAGTTTGAGCAAAATGCAGGGTCCGAGGCGAATTTTCAGATGCGGAAACGGTCATCCGAGGAAAAATAATCGCCGATTCCCTACGACTACAGCATCTATTTTCCATCGAACGCGACGCGGACACCTCCGTGTCGGGCAGTTCCACTCCGTCCGATTCCGTTTCGCTCATTTTCTCCCGGGCCATAAACGCTATTGAAGGCGGCGTTGAGCGAAAGAAAAAGGGAAAATTGTAAAAATCCTCTAGTACCTATCTGTCCATCCTCCCATCGACCGGCCTATTCGTCAGGAATTCACCTCCGCTCTGTCGAAGCAGATTCTTTCTCGGCGATGCTCTCGGGGGTAGTTTTATGATTTTATTTTTATTCTTTAACACACATTCAAAACGAGCCGAAAACGTTCAGCGAGCCAATTTTCGCCCTCATAAACGCCTCAGCCCACTCGAACGCATTGCCGAAGAAGAAGGCAAGGTAGACTGAGTAGGAAGGGGCCGGCCGCCGGCGACGACGTTAATGTCTTCATCGTCATCACCGTCGTCAGCGTCATCGCTGACGTACACCATAATGTCGGTTCCCGTTGGGGTGGGTTTCACTCGGCGCCCGTTCGACTTGTGATGGTGTTAAAATAACGCTGCAACACGACTCGAGAAAATCAGCGAGTCAACGAGCGGGAGATACCGAGACGAGGAGAAGGAGCTCGTTAAAATCTTACGAGCCCTAGCGACGACTCGATCCACGGCGGCGGCGGCGGCAGCTCTAGGAGACTCGGCCGAACTCACCGTGAACAACGGCAAAGTGCTACCCAGCCGGTTTAAAATCGGATTATCACATCTTTCAGTGTTTCACAATCGAGTTCGAGTCGACGAGTCTGTCTCCGAGCTAAGAAAGGGACCCAGACAAGTCGAAGACTCTTTCGATACGAGCGCTCTGCCTCTGGGACTTTGAAGTCTTCCTTGGGAGCAACTCCGCGCATCGATTCCTAATTCCTCGATTCCCGAGTCTTCTCCTCTCTCTCTCCAATAATTTCCGTGCTCGAGGTCTCATCTTCAATCGTCGGTCGGCGAACTTCGGAGGCGATTGAATCCCTCGTAGTCAAATAGGACTACTCGGCGAGACCGTAGGACTCGCCCAGCCGTCGACGTAATTCATTCATTGGTAGACACGGCGTAGGCATCGTCGACGAATCCAGCAAAGCGTAACGCCTATAGTTCGCCTACCCGCTTGTCAGCCAGCCAGCCCGCGTTCTATGCTGCTCTATTGAGTAGGTACCTAGTTGTCATCTCTGTGTATGATCAGCGAATGGCGGTGAGAGAAGGAGAGAGACGAGGCTAGCGAGAGCCTCCTAAAGAGCGCGCACATTCAATTCTCTTGTTCAATTCGACAATCAAGCACCAACAGACGGTTCGATTCGGGCAGGCACACATTCAGGTACACGAAGAACACACAGTGAAACATTTACATAAATGTGGGCCCGTGTACTTCGTGCCAAATCTCATCGGTCTCGATTGAATGAGTTCTGCGGAGTACTCTGCAAGTACCATTGAAGGTAAAGAGTCCACGTCCAGGGTAGACGGGAGCATTTTGGTCCGTCAAGAGACCATCGAGCTCGGGTAGGCGACATCGCTGAAGATTTATCACAACCAACCTCCAAATGTCGATATAAGTATCACAAACATATCGCGTCGGATGCTTCCCGGATATATCCGGAATAATAAACGGAACGAGAAGGCGCTAATCGCTGAACGTGGAGAGTCGCGCACTGGGTTGACTTATTCAATGAATTCTGTAACGTTTTTAATTGTGAAACGTCGACGGATCCAGCCACGTCGGTCCACTTACGTAAACTGCCGATAGTAAGTCGGAGACGAGAGTTCAGACGCACGAGTTGTTTTTTGCGAGACGAGACGATCAGGGCGACAGTCCAGTGAAAACACGAAGACTGGTAGGAAAGAAAAAAAAATCGTCGAGCAACAAATTTGACGAACGCCCATGTGTACACATGTATCCGATCTGCCGGATGGGAAGACGAGTTCCATAGCCACCATATCATTACGCTGTCACTCGGGCGAATGTCGTCAATTCGCTTCACACAGACACACACACACCGACGATTCGGATGGTTCAAACTCAATTCATTCGCTGTCTCCGGATCATCCTATCTGCTCGAGGCCGGGCACGTCAAGTCCCCGGGTATTGTTCGTCCCGGATCGCTCGTTCGAGGATTGCGCGAACACACTCGGAGGAAAGTCGGGAATTAATGGGATACGACAATTCGAGGTGGGGAATGAGGTTTTTACGGAAGCACTTCCATCTCTGAAGAAATCCGCGGAGAAATCCGCGAAGCTGCCTGCGATCTATCTTAATCCGTGATCGATCGTCTGCAATCGAATCGTCTATATTCTCATCCACGGTTCCCCCTGTGAACGCTAATGAAGGATTGTTCCAGCAGATGCTGGGAGAAAAAAAAACACGAACGGAACACCCGTATTCGTCGACGAGCGCGAGAGAGACGTTCGTACAGAGCCTTATTCATCAAGTGTCGTTATCACCTCATTCGTATCCGCCATTAGACTACTGTTACTTTCAAACGATGCTGATGTTGTGATGAGTTCGACGACAGCAACGTCGACCTTATCTGCCTTCGGAGCGCTAATATATAAGTTGAGTGAGCCAAACGCGGCACTAAGTGACATTATTTACACCTTGCCACCTCTCTCTTAGGTGAGCCGCCCATTTCAGATGGATGCGTTTGAGGTGACCGGACCGACAAACCGGCCGAATAACGAACAGGCAGCAACTTAGCAAAAAAATGCTAAACCAGCCAGCGGACTGACACGCAGAGGGACGTGATAATAGCCGACGATGATACTGTCGCACCGTCTGCACGAGAAACAGAATACGTGAGATTACCCTCGCGGCGGTAGAAGCAGCAGCAGCAGGTACTGCGCCTTCAAGGTGTCCCGCAGGGAATTATTCTAACCTACCAATCCGGCAGGTTAGGCCATCTGAACGCGGTCTGGGTGTTTGACGTACAATCACCGAATAAGTCAAGCGAAGATGAAGTGCTGAGAGACCTCCTCAAACAACAGAAGGTCTGCAGCACCTCGATAGCTAAGTTCAGCTAGTCTCTCGCTTGATTGTTGATAGGTCGCCCGGTCTCGGTTCTCAAGTGATACGACAGCTAGACCTCATCGCTGATATGACGCAGATAAGCTCTTAGACGGATTGTGACAACATTTGGCCTATCACGACGCTCGGCACTTAATATCGTATGCCATGTACGTACGTAGGTAGCTAGGTACGAAATGTGTGAGCGTCGACGGATAAAATGAGCTCGGCACGCTAATCTAACAGAGATAACGGGAAGAGATGTGCGAACGAGCCCTATTAGGTGGAAAGGCTTGCCTCCGTGGCGATCTCATAGTTTCATGAATGCTTCCCGCTTTCAACCACCAAAAAAAAAACAGCGCTCTAGCTGTCATGAGCGACAACGGAAGCTCACGTCGAGATTAGGCGCAACCGCTGGACTGTCGGCCTGGAGCTCGGATATGGCAAAGAAAATGGTCGGACACGACAAGAGTCCTTACACTCGTAGAGCTCGATGTTCCGAGCAGAGGTAGGTAGGTGTTTGCCTCTTGAAGCATTCGAGCAGCCGCGATAGGACTTTTGACGCTGCTATATGGCCGTTTGCTTGTTTCGGGCTGCCGGTACCATCATGGAAACATCTGAACAACGGAAACCGCAGAGCCACACTTGAGCGAACAACTGAAACGATTTTTCTATTCTTTCTTCGAAACGCCTGGCCTGACCACAGTGCAGAATGGGATCAGTATTTTTCTCGCCACTTCGACTCCCAATCAGTCAGATATAGGGAGAATCCTCGGAGTTCCGATTTTCAAGGATCGTATTATGCACAATCGATTCGGGTAGCGTATTCTTGGGTTTCGCCCCGGAACCGGCGAATCAAGCCGAGTCTCGTGAGCCCCTCTGCATTGTTCGCTGATATGCTCCACTTCGAATAGGGCGGGAACATGGGACGAATATCGAGGGTTTAACGAATGATTTTCGACATGGCACATGTTCCGCGTCGCTTTTCCCTAGGAGAGGAAGAAGCGATTCACTACGCCTGGAGCGGCAATCGGAATACTAATATTCCTCTGAGCAATCTTGCGATCATCATCAGCTTTCGCTTGGATGACGTCGCCTCGCGGAAAAAAAATACGTGCGGGCGTTTTGCAAGCGCGCTGTTCGGAGCGAGCATCAGAACAATCTTCAAATCAAAACGATGACGGCGGCAGCATGGACGATGATGTTAGCGACTAGAATAATCGCTCGACTCCGGCTGAGGCGGAAAGCGGAATTGATTCGAAACGATTGTAGGAACAGCTGGGTAGCGGAGCCGGAGACGGCGGGAAAGCCGTTGATCAGGTCAATTCGATAAAAATTGGACGACGCACGGTGTCAACAAGACAAACGGAATTCGACGACACGAGCCGACAAGGAGCCAGAAAATCACTTCGAGGAATTATTGGCGGTCGACGATCACGAATTGGAGCCGTTCGGTTCGTGAGGTATCGAACTCAGCGCGAATACGTCTCGAGAATGCCGTTTCGCGAGGGGACGAGAGTTCTGCAGAGAGCCTTTTCGAGTTTCCTTTCCGGTTTCTCGCATCGAAGCTTCTGCTGGTGGCTTCTCTGCCAAGTCGACGAAAAATTCTATGCTTGGTGGGCAGCTGCAGTCATTCTTACTTTTTTTCTGGCTTCACACACACAACACCCAGTCAACCGGTCGCGACACCTCGACTTCTTTCGTGCCTTATCTTTGCTTCATATCTTTATCCTCGTCATCAGCGGGCGCCCGCGTCGCAGCCACCGGCGGCTTCTGCTGTGGCTGCGACTCACGCGAGCGAGCTCAAATGAGGAACTACAAACCCTTTGTCACGATTGGTTTCTTTCCCGCCTCGGACCGAGAACGCGTTGCCTCTTCTTCTTCTTCTTATGGGAAGCAACAAAAGTGGCAATCTACAAAGTCGAGGACGCGAAAAACAGCGCGGAAATTCGAGCAACGCCCCAACGATCGTCTCCGATCCTCGCGAATACGTACGGACGTACGGGAACGAGGCTCTTCCGAACGTCAACTGCAGTGTGAGCTCCGCGATTTCAATTTATGCTCGGTGTTTAAAAATTCACGTAGATCATGTTCGTAATGACAGGCCTGGCGCCGACAGCTGACTGAGCAAACACTCGAACGAGCTGACCACGTCCGTCGATAGATAGATGGACGAACGAACAGATAGACTGGGATAGGTGGGTGCCATGCTGTCAACGAGAGTGTCTCTCGGTGTGCTTTGACGTAGCGTCACGTAGCGGGCTCCCATATTTCCACATATGGACCCACGGTCGAGAGCGATACACGACACGGATAGACAGACGAGCAGAGAATCGAGCGAGCGTGTGGAGTGACCGGTGTGGACACATCCCACCCCATCGTTCTGGAGCAGGAGATGGTGCGGAATACCCGCTGTATCTATCTCTCCCTCCCTCGTTTCTCGCCACCTCTCCTGGCGACTCACTCCAATCAAACGCCGTTGCTCCACAGACGAAGCGTGGCGAGAGGTACGTGCTTTTCAGGCCGCTGGATGCCCGCTGACACTATGAGGTGTGGGTCCCCAAAGTCAACCGGGTGGATCTAACGAGCTCTTTACTTTGGGCCAATCCGACGATTAGACCGAGAGACATCAAGCGAGAGAACGGCAGCGGAAGTTCGAGCGAGACTTCTTTTAAATGTTCGACGACCGAAGATAACAAGACTCAACCCGCTCCGGGCAGCTCGTCTGTGTGGGGAGCACCCGCCGACGGCGGCGCCGTTGGGCGATCATCGTGTCCTCCGCTCCGCACAACAATCCAATCGAGACTAGATTGAACTGTAAGCAGGTGCCACTGTGCGATTGCGAATGATCGTCGGCTCCGTTCGGCGATATCGATCAATGTTGGTGCCGTAAACCGGACACAGTAGAGACCAGCAATAACTAGACGAAATCGCGCACCACCCACGGACGGAATCGGAGCATCGGGACTGTGACGGTCATTCCCAAGAAAACTACTTACAAATCCATGCTTGTCCGAGATGTTGTTGGTCAGCTTGAGTTTGTGGAAGGAGACCACTTTCTGCATCCATTGTTCTCCAGTGGCCGGCGAATCTGGATGGATGTACATTCGTTTGGGCATTTCAGGGTCGGCCTTCCCTGCGATCATCCACCGAGAATTGTGGAATTTGTATCTGCAATCGTCGGCGGCTACGATGTCCATCAGGAGGATATACTTCGCTCGCTTGTCGAGGCCGGACACTCGAACTTTAAATGCTGGGAACATCCGCCTGGAAAGAATGAGAATTGTTTTTCAGTTTGTTTGTTCTTCGCCTCGAGTCCGTACATTTCCATACATACGGGGATATCTGCACGCATCATGATCCATGATATGAGCGTTGAGGACATATATTTCGCAATGATTTTGACATAGGGGAGCAGGACGTGATCCTTCCGGGAATGAACTCTCCAACACGATGTTATCAACGATGACAAAGCGACTTCATGGGCTACGGAGATGTATTGATGGGAGTGCTCTCGCAGATCCTTCATATTCATAGCGCGAACAACAGTCATAAAGCGTGCTAATGGCATTGACCACGGCGGTAGCGGCGAACGACGGCCAAACAAGCGTACAAGCTTGCTTGCTTGCCTGACTGGGAGGAGCCATCGACTTCGACCAGAACAAGCCTCCACTCTGACATAAGCACATGTGGTCATGGAAAACCTGCGAAAATTAGATTCGCGAAAGGAAAAAAAATCGTCATCTGTACGGCGTCAACTTCTATTTCTTCTCATCTCACCCGTACACGTAATTCGGTATATCTGATCGGAATGAGTGGAGTAGAATTCTGGTCCGTCGTTAAGGGGAGGGGGAATCGCTTGTTCTCAGTCAACCGGAATCACGGGAACGTCCCCCAGTTCTCTAGTTCGGACTTGACGAGGGAAGGAAGTCACTTCCAGTTTTTCCTCAGCGTCAGGCGCGGCAACACCGGTATTTGTTGCTTCGGATCGACTGAACTCGGTGGAGTGGTTAAGCTAGCAGACTGGCTGGTGCTCGACTGGCGGACAAACAGACGGAGACACAAAAGAACTGCTCGGGGCGGGCGTCATGGCTCGACATAGGGGGTAATTTTGTCTTGTGAGCCTGTGCGAACCACGGGCGCACGCTGCTGTTCACCAGTGTATCTCGTTTCTATGTCAGATCTCTTTGACAGCCTCGCTAGACTGCTTGCCTGCCTGTCTGCTTCCCTGGCAGTTAGTCAGTTCGGCTGCTTATTGGTCCTCCGAGCCAGCTCACTAACAGCGAGGCAGGAGGAAGCAGCGAAGGCAACAGCCGAATCAGCAGGAAAAAGAGCCTTGACTCTAGCAGCGTAGGATTGGGTTTCGGGCGCTACGGAGTATCCCGCAGCCCGTCCCCTATCAAACGTACCCGCTCGACGGGAGGACGAACGAATTGTCCCAATCCTGATCATGCTTGAATATTCAGCATATTATTCATTTATTTATGGTCCGAGGACCATCGATCCCGAATGGAATTTTCGGCCCGAGATCCCGAGAGTCCCCCGAGGTAGGTCAATGCGAATTGTATCGGAAGTGAAGAGGTTTCCAGTGCGCCTCCTTTTTTGCGAGGGCTCTACTTTCTTACAGATCAGAGCATCCCTCTCGAGAGACACATTGACGTGAGAGGCGTCATCGTCATCGTCGTCGTCGAGGTGACACTCAAGCTGTGGGTGTTCCCTGAGCAGAGTGAAAAGCTGCCGCTGGTGCCGCCGTTTCGCCAGCATCGCAAACGACAGCCAAGGAGTCAAGGAAGAACAAGCCCAGACAGGATTGTCAGGACAAGCTCCACTTAGGTGAGGCAGCGAGGCTTAAAGCTCTGCAGACTTTAATCAGGGCCTGTCGTTCTGTTCGTCTCAGCGGCTTTTTAGTTGACAACGAAAAAGAAAAAGAACGAGAGAAAGATAGACGCTTGTGACAATCGCACGCACAACCACACAATTCGTAGTCGCGTCTTTCATAACTTGCCATGGCCCAGCAATCGCAATGGAAGCGGTGGCTATTGTCGCCGAAATACCCTTCACCCACCTATCTTACTCAGTCAGTCATGTGTCCGACCGGCTCGTAGGTTTGCACCAAGTCCATCGTCGTCCACTATTCTAAGGCACTATTCCGGCGAGCAGCTCCCATTTTCTTCATTCAAATCTCCTGCCATGGAAAGGACGCCGTGCCGAAGTAGCGCTCGCACGTACACAATATCGCAAGCCGAAACTGCACAACTGTGTTGGGTTCCTGCGCTCCACTCAAATCGATCCCCATGCTAGCTTGATTTGTTCTAATGATGGGACCCCGAATCCGAAAATCTATTGTTGTCTGCCGATACGGCGAGGTTGTCATCCGACGGAGCCTCGGCAGAGCCATTGTTTGAAATGGGTCAAACCGGTTAGGATGTCTCTCCGAATCGGAGCCGGAGCACTGCGGCGGCGAAAAAGGATAGACCCGCAGTCGTCCGAGGGCTGCGGATAATACATTATTCAGACGTCAGCGAGTTCTCAGAGCAGGTGTAGGGGAGGGAGATGGACAATCGTCGCAGAGACTCGAGATGTAAGCACCTACCAGTCGTCAGTATCGAGTTCGACACTGATAGACGACTATACTCAGTATGCACAGCACCAAGCGATGTAACGCCACCCCGGAAGACTTCCCGGCGTATGATCGGTGATCTACAGACATCAGAGCCTGTCTGCCACAGTTTGTCAACAGGTACTCGCTAGGGCTCGTATACCCGTCGGACGAACATACTCTATGTGACACGGCTCGTGATAACCATTATAATCAGCTTTGATGAGAAATATATGCTAAGCGTATAGAGTTCTGTGCACTTTCGAGCGGGATATCCGCGCCGTGAGAGCGGACTAGGAAGCCCCGAGTGTGCCGGATTGCACCGGTAGGAGCGCGCAGGCCGGGTAATTAATGGATCCGCGATGAGTTCCCGAGCTGAATGAATGAGAAACCTGTGACCTGTTCACGACCACGACTCCCGAGTCCGCTATTCGCCAAGATCAGCTCAAGGAGTCCAGGCGCGAAAGGTGTGACAAAGCGCATGAGCAAATTAACATGTATCATAATGCGCGGAGGAATATCGTGGGAGAGACGACTTCGTCGGCACCCTGATGTTCTAAAAGCGATCTCTCAATCAACTTCGTTCGAGAGCTCTCGACTCGAGTGTTCCTCCTCCGCAATATCGTCGAGCACGCCGGCATTGCCATGATTGTCATCACCAAACTCTACAATTTGTCGCCGGATGGATGGACAAACATCGTACGTTCAGCTAGAGCACACCGTGTTCTTCCATGCTTCTCGGCCCCACCGGGAACCTCGATGACTTCACCGTCTATTCGTAGACTCCGTCACCAGGCCGCGTCGCTCTCAATTTTCGCCGATTTGCTGAGCGGAATCTGACTGATGGTCAGCCGGATGATGAATGTTTGATTCATTCGTGCTGTTGAATATATTCATTACGAGTCCAAGAGAGACTGTCGAAATCTGTCATTACATCCGACGGGATTCGTGAATCTGGGCATCGCCGACGAGAAACTCACATATTGAACGAACTCATTTCGAATCGAATGATTTGAAACAGCGCAGCGTCCTGAAGTTGGTTTCTTGTTATGCTCGCGAGAGCCGATACCGACGGCCAGCCTTTCGCGCATCGATCGAAACTATGCCGTGCCTGCTGGCCGACGACTGGCCCAAAGGCCCATCACGGCAACGTCGAGATCGATTCTTGAGACCATTATGAATTCGGCGCCGCTGCTTCGCCCCAGGACACAAATCAGCGAGGAGAACAGGAGGACGCCCAGGTCAGACAAACAGTTTTAAAATCGAGAGAGAGATAAATCATCCTGATCGAAAGCCAGGTGGACACCGATGTATGTACAATACCTAGAGACGTGGAAAACAACGATATCTGTGACATTCATACTCCTCACCAGGATGGAGCCAGAGAGTCCCTCCAGTTCTGGGAGTCGATCATGAAAATTGAAATGTTCTCTGGTGATCCGCTCCACTGAAATCCTCAGCTCTCGCGCGAATGCTCCCGAGGAGAAGCCCAGCACAGAACACTTGTTTCTGCTCGAAATCTGCGGGTCGTCGAACAACAGATTCACCCACGATCAAGCCGCGAGATGCGCAACCACATATTTGTACGTGGGCAAGCTCAAGCACAAGCTCTCGACAGTTTTTCAAGCTCTCGATCGTGTCAAAAGTCGAGCCGCATCCCCTCCCGGAATTTTCCCCGGGAATTTCGTTTCAGATTTGGGTTCCGTAAACGTCATTCATCAAGAGAGGAAGAAAGCGTTCCGAGCGCGAACAGGTGCTGGAGCGGTGAATGCCGTCGGAGAACGGTTAAGTCAGGTCGTGGTCGGCGCGACCGGCGTTCATTAGGCCACAGTCTTCATTAATTCGGGCGCTGCGGAGAATTAAGAGAGGAACTCCACGCCGTAACGGCATCCACACCGGAACTCCGGTGGGATAGCCACCGAGCAGGCGGACAAGAGAATTCTTCACGGAGAAAACGGCGGACGACAGACTCCGACCCCACGCACGACCGTTCCTCAGGACAGAGATCAGACTTGGGAAGGTGTTGAGCTGATGAGCGGAAGAGACGGTCGCGAATATCCGAGAGGTTCAGGTCTCTCCTAAGTCGAACGTGAGTCGAACGACGATGTCATATGCGAGGCGTTCGTTCGCCAAGTCTCGCTTCGGATATGATGGATTTGTGAGAGATGACCGCGCCGTGATAAAGCCGCTCCGAAAGCGATTGCAGTCCCCTCGTTCCCCTGTCTCCCAGCTCCGACCGATGAGCCGTCCGTGCAGCCGTGAAGTCGAAGCGTAGATAAAAAGGTATTAAGAAAAAAAAGACACTCACTCTATAAATTTCTTCGTTTTTCACTTTTGTTCGACTGCGCTGAGGGATGGCATACGCTGATAAGGCCAGACACCGGTACCGGCAACAGATCCCGGCATATTTATTCTGATATTGGCCGCCGAAACTCCAGCTTGACGCCTGCCGCCTGATCGGCTGGCTATCTACGAAGGCCAATCTGTCGCTCTCTATATGGAATTTCGAAATGACTCCCAATCAGCGATGAAGATTCCGTCACCTCGGAACCCCAGCGCACACAAGCATGAAAAACATGAAAAAAGAAATCGCTGTCGAGAATCGCCGGAGGGTGAAATATTTTTCTCCGGTTCGCAAGACGCGAATCCTTCAACGCCTACGATTCCA